AACTAAATTTACACAATAAAGGTGGCAGTGGGAGGATGGCTTGAGGCCAGGAGTTCAAGACCAGCCTGGCCACATAGCAAGACTTCCATCTCTACAAAAATAAAATTAGCCAGGCATGGTGGTACACATCTGTAGTCCTAGATATTCCAGAAGCTAGGCTTGAGCCCAGGAGTTTGAGGTTATGATCACATCACTGCACTCCAGCCTGGATAACAGAGAGAGACCCTGCCTCAAATAAATAAATGAGTAAAAATAGAAGTGGCAGAAAGTTCAGAAAGAGAGAAAGTGTCATAAAGTATTTTTTTTAATTGTTGAAAACTTCCCAAATCTGGGGAACAATGTCAACATCCAGGTACAGGGTGCTCAGAGGTCTCCAACAAAATTCAACTCAAAGAGGTGTTCAACAAGACATATCATAATCAAATTATCAAAAATTAAAGATAGAACTCTGAAAGCAGAAAGAGATAAGAAAAGATCACATCTTAGTGAGTCTCAATGTGGCTAGCAGTGGATGTTTCTGCAGGAACCCTGCAGATAAGGACAGAGTAGGATGATATACTCAAAGTGCTGAAGGAAAACAGTGCCAACCAAGAATACATTATCCAGAAGTCCTTCTGAAACAAGGGAGAAATAAAAACTTTACCAGACAAACAAAATTTAAGGGTAGTCATCATTACTAGTCCTTCCTAGTAATGATGCAAGAATTGCTAAAAAGAGTTCTTTAAGCTGAAATAAAAGCGTGTTAATTAATAACATAAAGCATATGACAGTATAAAACTCAATTGTGTAAGTAATATATGGGCATATTCAGAATACTCTACTACTGTAATGATGGTGTATAAAGGAATTTTATCTCTACTATGAGGGTTAAAAGATAAAATTATTAAAAACAACTATAGCTGCAAATAAATTATTAAGGCATACAAATTACAGAAAGATGTAAAATTTTAGATCAATATTATAAGAGGTGGTGGGATAAAAGTGTAGAATTTTTGTATGTGACTAGAGTTAAGTTGTTATCTGTTTAAAACAGCCTATTATAAGTACGAGATGTTTCATGTGAGCCTCATGGTAACTACAAAAGCAAAAACCTATAGTAGTTGCACAAAACATAAAAATAATAAATAAATAAAATAAAAAGACAAGATCATATATAATATATAATAATAGAAGATTCAATTCATGAAGAGGAGAAAACAAGTACATATGTTCCCAGCATTAGAACATCTAAATATAAGAAGCAACTATTAAATGATCTGAAGGCAGGCTGGATATGGTGGCTCATGTCTGTAATCCCAACACTTTGGGAGGCCAAGGCAGGAAGATCTCTTGAGCCCAGGAGTTTGAAATTAGCCTGAACAACATAGTGAGACCTCATCTCTACAAAAAAAAATAAACCAAATTAGCCAGGGATGGCAGTGCACAATTGTAGGCCCAGCTACTCAGAGGTGGGAAGCTCATTTGAGCCCAGGAAGTGTAGGTTGAAGTGAGCAAAGATCACACCACTGCACTCCAGCCTGGTTGACAAAACAAGACTCTATCTCAAAGAAATAGACAATCTGAAGAGAAAGATAGACTGCAATATAATAATGGTAGGAAACTTCAACACTCCACTTTGAACAATGGACAGATCATCTAGACAGAAAATCAGTAAGATAACATTGGCTTTCAATTACAAGTTGGGCTAAAGGGAACTAATAGATATATACAGAACATTTCATCCAACAGCAAGAAAATACACATTCTTCTCAAGTGCACACAGAACATTATCCAAGATGGATCCATATGTTAGACCACTGATATGGTTTGGATCTGTGTCCCTGCCCAAATCGCATGTCAAATTGTATAATCCCCAGTGTTGGAGGTGGGGACAGATGGGAGGTAATTAGATCACAGGGGTGGATTTCCCTCTGCTGCTGTTCTCGTGATAGTGAGTTATCATGAGACATGGTTGTTTAAAAGTGTTTAGTGCCTCCCCCTTTCTTCCTCCTGCTCTAGCCATGCAAGATGTGCCTGTTTCCCCTTTACCTTCCGCCATGATTGTAAGTTTCCTGCCATGCTTCCCGTACAGCCTGTGGAACTGTGAGACAATTAAACTTCTTTTCTTTATAATTTACCCAGTCTCAGGTATTTCTTTATAGCAGTGTGAGAACTGACTTATACAGCCATAAAATGAGGCTTAACAAATTCAACAGGATTATAACCATCATAAATACGTTTTATGATTATAATAGTATAATACCAGAAATCAGTAAGAGGAAAAATCTTCAAAAATTCACACATATGTGGAAATTAAATAGCACACTTCTAAACCATCAGTAAATCAAAGAAGAAATTTAAAAAATTGAAAACTGTTCGGAGACAAAATTGAAGCACAACATACCAAAACTCATGAGATGTGGCAAAAGCAGTTCTAAGAAGAAAATTTATAGCAATAAACACCTATATCAGAAAGGAAGAAAGAGCTCAAATACGCAATCTAGTATTATATCTAACAAACTAGAAAAAGAACAAACTAAGCCCAAAGTTAGCAGAAAAAAGGAAATAACAAACAGCAGAGTGGAAACAAATAAAATAGGAACTAGAAAAATAATAGATAAAATCAACAAAACTGGCCAGGGATGGTAGCTCACACCTGTAACCCCAGTACTTTAGGAGGCTAAGGCAGGCAGACTGCCTAAGTGTAGGAGTCTGAGACCAACCTGGGCAACATGGCAAAACCTCATCTCTACAAAAAAAAAATAATAATAATAATACAAAAGTGAACCAGGCATGGCCATGTGTGCCTACAGCCCCAGCTACTTCAGAGGGTGAGGCAGGAGGATCACTTGGGCCCCGGAGGTCAAGGCTGCAGTGAGCTGAGATCGTACCATTGCACTCCACCCTGAGTGACAGAGGAAGACCCTGTCTCTGAAAGTCAGATAAAATATAATAAGCAAAACAGTTGGATATTTTGAAAATATAAACAAAAGTGAAAAAAAACCTTAGCCAGACTAGGGAAAAAAAAGAGACTACTCAAATAAAATCAGAAATGAAAGGGGAAACACAACAAATAGTGCAGAATACAGAGGGACCATAAGAACTACTAAGAGCAATTATATTCTAACAAATAGGATAACAGAAAAAAAAATGGATAAAATCTAGACATATGTAACCTACTAAGACTGAATCACAAATAGATAGAAAAATCTCAGTATACCAAGAATGAGTAAGAAGTTTGAGTTGGTAATAGAAAGTCTCTCATCAAAAAGACCCCGGGACCAGATGGCTTCACAGCTGAATTCTAGCAAACATAAAAAAACTAATACTGTATAAGTCCATTTGTGTTGCTATTAAGGAATTCCTAAGACTGGGTAATTTATGAAGACAAGTGGTTTATTTGGCTCATAATTCTGCAGGCTGCACACAAAGCACAGTGCTAGAATCTGCTTCTGGTGCGAATCTCAGGAAGCTTACAATCATGATAGAAGGTGAAGGGGACCAGCAGGTCATATGGCGAGAGAGGGAGCAAGCAAGATACCAGGCTCTTTTAAACAATATGCTCTTGTGTAGACTCACACGGCAAGAACTCACTCATCACCAAGGGGATGACACTAAGCCATTCTATTAATGAGAGATCTGCCCTCATGAACAACATTTCTATTGGGTACCACCTCCAACACTGGGGATCACATTTTAAGGTGACATCTGGAGGAGACAAACATCCAAGCTACATCAAATACCAACTCTTTTAAAACTCTTCAAAAAAAAAAAAAATTCAACCGGAGGGAACACTTCCAAACCCATTTTATAAGACAGTATTACCCTCATACTAAAGCCAAACAAGGATAGTAATTATAAGCCAATATTCCTGATAAACATAGGTGTAAAAATCCTCAACAAAATACTACAAATTTAATTAAACAGCACACTAAAAAGAACATTTACCATAAGCAAGTGTGATTTATCCCAGGGATGCAAGGATGGTTCAACATATACAAATCAATAAGCATAATACACCACATTAGCAAAATGAAGGACAAAAACCATATGCTCAATGGACACAGAAAGCATTTGATAAAATTCAATATCCTTCATAATAAAAACTCTCAACAGGTATGGATGAAATATACCATAACACAATAAAGGCCATATATGACAGTCCCACAGCTGACATTTATACTCAAGGGTGGAATGTTGAAAGCTTTTCCTCTAACATCAGGAACAAGACAATAATGCCCACTCTTACCACTTTTTTTTTTTTTTAACATAGCACTGGAAATCCTTACCAGAGCAATTAGCCAAGAGACAGAAAGAAAAAAAGGATCCTAATATGAAAGGGAGAAATAAATTGTCTGTTTGTTGATGATATAATTTTATATATAAAAAACTCTATGAAGACTCCACCAAAAAATTGTTAGAACTGATAAGCAATATCAGTAAAGTTGCAGGACACAAAATTCATACACAATAATGAGTAGCATTCTTGTACACTAACAGTGAACTATCTGAAAAAGAAATTAAGAAAACAATTCCATTTATAGTAGCAACAACAAAAACAACAACAAAAAAATAGGTGTAAATTTTTAAAAATTGGTTAAATGAGGTAAAAGATCTGTATATACTGAAAACTGTAAGACACTAATAAAAGCAATTGAAAATGACACAAATAAATGGAAAGTTGTTCTGTGAAACAATTAATATTGTTAAAATGCTCATAGTACCCAAAGCAATTTATAAATTCAATGCAATCTCTATCAAAATTCCAGTGTCATTTTTCACAGCAATAGAAAAAATAATCCTTAAATTTGTATGAAACCTTTAAAACAAACCCAGATAGCAAAGGACTCTTGAGCAAAAAGAGCAAAGCCGGAGGTATCACACTTCTTGACATCAAAATATACTGGAAAGCTACAGTAATCAAAAGAGCATAATATTGGCATAAAAACAGACACATTGACCAACACAGCAGGATTCAGAGCTCAGAAATAAACCCACACATTTATAGACAATTGCTTTTAAAAAAAATTTAAGAACAGGGTCTTACTACATTGCCTCGAACTCCTGTACTAAGAGATCCTCTCGCCTCAGCCTCCCAAGTAGCCGAGACTACTGTCATGAGCCACCACGTGTGGCTAACAATTCATTTTTGCTTCAGGTGCCTAGAACAAACAAGGGAGAAAAGATAAGCTCGTCAACAGATGATGCTGGAACACTGGATACTCATAAGCAGGAGAATAAAATTGGATTATCTTAGACCATATACAAAAATCAATATAAAATATATTAAAGACTTAAATATAGGGCCTGAAACTATAAAACTCCTGAAGAAAACACAGAGAAAAACCTCCACAACATCGGTCTGGGCAACGATTTTTTGGATATGACCCCAAAAGCACAGGCAGCACAAGTAAAAATAGACAAATGAGATAGCATTAAACTAAATAGCTTTCAAACAGCAAAGAAAACAATTAACAGAGTGAAGAGACAGCTCACAGAGTGGGAGGAAATACTTGCAAACCACACATCTGGTAAGGGGTTAATATTCAAGCCATATAAGAAACTCACACAACTCAAAACAGGAAAACAAATCACATGGTTTTTAAATGGGCAAAGAACTTGATTAGATATTTCTCAAAAGAAGACATACAAATCGCCAACAGATCTGTATAAAATAAATGCTCAGTATCATTAATTATTAGAGAAATGCAAGTTAAAACCACAGTGAGACAGTACCTCACACTGTTAGAATGGCTATTTTCAAAAAGATGAAATAAAGGCCGAGTGCGGTGTAATCATAAAACATGTTTGTGATGGTTATAATCCTCTTGAATTTGTTAAGCCTCATTTTGTGGCTGTATAAGTCAGTTCTCACACTGCTATACAGAAATACTTGAGATTGGGTAATTTATAAAGAAAAGGGGCATAATTGTCTCACAGTGCCACAGGCTGCATGGGAAGCATGGCAGGAAACTTACAATCATGGCAGAAGGTGAAGGGGAAACAGGCACATCTTACATGGCTAGAGCAGGAGGAAGAAATAATGTACTTATACCACTATGTCTTGTTTCAACAGCTCTAATCAGTATCTAGGGTAAAATTAAGTAAGCAGGAAGCCATTGACCTGAGACTCTCTTCATGCTTTGAATTCCTATGAAACAAAGTGCAACCTAACTTAGTATGTAAACAAACTGAACTTAGTAGTTTCATTTTTATAACAGATAGCCAGGTCTTAGCCAATCACAAGCAGCCAACGTTCAGCAACGCGCAAGCAGCCAAATGACTGACTCATGTCTAAATCAAGCAAAACACTTAGCTGCAACAAATCAAACTATTTCTTTACTTTACTTTCCTGTTGTATTTATAAATACTCATTGTCTACAGTTGCAGAGCTCTCTGAACCTCTTCTGGTTCTGAGCACTGCTTGATTCATGAATCATTCTTTACTCAAATAAACTTAAATTTAAATTGTCTAAGGTTTTTTTGTTTGTTTGTTTGTTTTTTACAGTAGATACCCCTCTCAGCAATAGGAAGATGATAGCCCATAGAAGTGAATATATTTTTCTTTTTGTTGTCTCCACTCCATATTATCCACAACAGGGCTCAACCTAATAATAATAGTAACAACAACAACAGTAATTGTGTGGAGATAGACTGTAAGAACTCAGATCAATGTTTTACTATTCTGTGATTCTTAAAGTAAATATTTATAAGTCCATAGTCATATAAATGACTAAATAAATAAATAGAAAGAACAATTCTCCTATCAGAAAAATTCCAATTAATAAATGTAAAAAATTAAGGAAATAGAGAATCACCATTAGAACACCACAGTAACAACGGCTGCAGGCAAGATCCACTGATGAATAATAAAACTGATGGGTGAAAGTTTAGGGAGCAAACTGGATATATACATAGCCTCAAAGTATCTCCCCCAAATATTTATTAGTTACCACGGTGCTGTTAACATATATCCACACCTTATTTAATATTCTTTCCTCCAGAGAACAGACTGAATCTACTCAACCCTCACTCCCAGTGTGGGCTGCACTAAGTCACTCCCTTCCAAAAACTAGGGTTTGGATAGGGGAAAATGGTGACTTTACAGTAGAGAAATTTGCCAGTTGCTCCACCTTAACCAGGTGACCAAGGTAACGTCACCAGTGATAAATCATGTTGATATCCGGTATCTCATGTTATGATTCAAGGAGAAGGGCCCCTTACCTCTGTGGCATACTTCCCAAATGTCCATAACCCTAGTCTTATTCAGAGGAAACATCAGACAAACCCAAATGAAGGGACGTGCTACAAAATAGCTGCTCAATACTCTTCACAAATGGAAAGGTCATGAAACACTAGAAAAGGCCAAGAATCTTTCATAGAGGTGAGAAGAATAGACAGGATAACAAAATTCTGTGTGGTATGCTGGACTGGATCCAGGAACAGAAAAAGAACGTTAGTCAAAAAACTGGTGAAATCTGAGTAAAATCTGTGGTTCAGTTAATAGTAATGTACCAATGTTAATGTATCGGCATTTATCATTATACCATACTTATATAAGATTTTCACATTAGGTGAAGCTGGATGAGGGGTATTCAGAAACCTTGTACTATCATTACAAGTCTTTCGTAAATCTAAAATATTTCCAAATATAAAAAGTTTTTTAAAATAAGTGATCTACCTTTGATCTACCTTTGAAATGATACCTTTAATTATTATGCAGAATTAGTTCTTGGACACTTTAAAATTATGATTATTGGAGACAAACAAAAATGTAGCTGGGTTTGGTGGCTCATGCCTGTAATCTAAGCACTTTGGGAGGCCAAAGTGGGAGGATTACTTGAGCCCAGGAATGCAAGACCAGCCTGGGAAGCATGGTGAAACCCTGTCTCTACAAAAAATACAAAAATTAGCTGGGTGTGGTAGCATGAACCTACCTGCTACTCAGGAAGCTGAGGTGGGAGCAACTGCTTAAGCTTGGGGAGCAAAGGTTGCAGTAAACCAAAATTGCACCACTGCACTTAAGTCTGGCGACAGAGTAAGATTCTTTCTCAAAAACAAAACAAAAGAAAACAAAACAAAAAAGAAAGAAAAAAGAAGAGCATGGTAGCTCACATCTGTAATCCTAGCACTTTGGAAAGCCAAAGTGGTCGGATCACCTAAAATCAGGATTTCGAGACTGGCCTGGCCAACTACTGCAGGCACAAAAAAAATTAGCCAGGCGTGGTGGCGAGGACCTGTATATTAGCTCGTCCCATGCTCAGGAATGACCAAAACGCACGATGGAGTTGGTTAGAAAAAATTACCCCTCGTAATTTTCTCACTGTTAAAACTTATGCGAAAGCGGTTGCAGCGCCCCTGGTCCACACCTGAGTGCTCCCCAAGGGGTCCCCAAACACCCGCAGGGTCCCCAACCACCCCGCCCCCAGGCTGAGGGCTGCAGGCGGGCCCCGCCCCGCGCGCCGGGGGCCTCCGCCAGAGCCGCGGCTTTCTCTCCGAGGCTGCGCACTAAGGTGGTGGGCGGTCCAGGGCAGGCCGGGAGCCCGAGTGTCTCTGCCGAGCTCCGAGGAAAGGAGTTCCTGCAGCAGCTGCTGCTCCGGAGCCTACGACATGGGGCCCGTGCCGCGCACCCTGGAGCTCTTCTACGACGTGCTGTCCCCCTACTCCTGGCTGGGCTTCGAGGTGACGCTGGGGGTGCCACCTCCGGGGGGGCCTGGGGCGTGAGGGCGGAGGGAAGCGCGAGCTCAGGGCACAGGGACAGAGGTCTCGTGAAACTCCTGGCGCTGCCCACGGGGTTAGGGCAAGCAGGGAGAGCTCCAGGGCTGAAGGTCAGTTTGTTCTTTGAAACAGGTTAGAGTCGGTGGCTCCAAGCGGAGCCTTTGTATCCCGACTGCAGTTTCCCACAGTGGTGGAAAGAGGGGCGGCTCCAAACGTTCAGGGAGAAATCCTGGGCACGGCCACCTCTTAGCCCAACGATGGCAGTTTTGGGGGAAACTGGCCACAGGAGCAAAAATCCTGGAATAGATTTCTAGAAGTGGGCGGAGTTTTGCCATTTCAAACCAAACAATGTAGGGTGTCCGAATAACCCCTGCTCTGTACTTAGCGCCCCCCTTCCCTTTCTCTCGGTCTTTCACTTTTCCATCTGCCTTTCACTTTTCCATGTGCACACTGGCTCCCCTTCTTGACCTCTGCCCGCAGATCCTGTGCCGGTATCAGAACATCTGGAACATCAACCTGCAGTTGCGGCCCAGCTTCATAGGAGGGATCATGAAAGATAGTGGTAGAAAGGGAGGGTAGGGTCAAGGGTGGTTTCAGTGGCCCAGGAGAGCCGACCACAGTGGGTCCTTATACTGGCACTGGCAGCTAGAAAGCTGCCTCTAGCTGCCCTCTGCAGTGGTGGCTCACGCCAGTAATCCCAGCACTTTGGGAGGCCGAGGTGGGTGGATGACTAGGTCACAAGTTCAAGACCAGTCTGGCCAAGATGGTGAAACCCATCTAGTAAAAACACAAAAATTAGCCGCTACGGTGGCAGGCGCCTGTATTTCCAGCTACTAGGGAGTCTGAGGCAGGAGAATTGCTTGAACCCGGGTGGCGGAGGTTGCTGTGAGCTGAGATCAGGCCACTGCACTCCAGCCTCTGTCAAAAAAAAGAAAGGCAAGGGAAGGCAAAGGAGGGCAGGGCAGGGCAGGACAGGGCAGAGCAAGACAAGGTGGAGAGGGGATGGGAGAAGAGGGGAGGGGAGCCGAGGGGGAAAGAAAAGAAAGAAAGCTGCCCTCTGCCCAAAACCCAGGTCGAGGTCCGCAAACCTGGGACCCTCAGGTCTTCTCTCACTTTGCATGCCCAACCTTCCCCTGCCAGGAAACAAGGCTCCAGCTCTGATTCCCCGCAAAGCACAATACATGGCAAATGACATAAAGGTCCTGAGACAGCATGTCCAGGTCCCCATCCAGTTCCCTAAGGACTTCTTCTCTGTGATTCTTGAAAAAGGTGAAGAGAGTGGGGTGTAGACAGGGTATCCAGTGAAGGGCAGAGAAGTCAGAGATTGAGGGGTGAGGATGGAGGGGCTGGGGGAGACTAAAGTGAGTGAAGCCTGCCTTGGGAAACCTCCGGATCAGCATTGAGGAAGCTGAAGGTTGCCAGGCATGAAAGGGAGGAAGAGCAGGCAAATAGGTCATGGGAAACGGGTGAGAGGCTGAGGGCAGAGGAGTTCTAGGGGATGTCAGAAGCAAGGAAGAGCTAGTTCTCCACCAGGAAAGCAGCAAGAGGAGCCCTGTTTCTGAGTGCCTTTGCCCCACAGGAAGTTTGTCTGCCATGCGTTTTCTCACCGCCGTGAACCTGGAGCATCCAGAGATGCTGGAGAACGTGTCCCGGGAGCTGTGGATGCGCATCTGGTCACGGGTGAGTGCAGGGCTCTGGAAATCCCGTGGGAGGGCCTTGGATGACTTTCTGACCTTCCCCAGGCACGTTTTCAAGGTCATGTTCCTCCCCTCCCCTGGAGGATCTACTGTCCCCCAGTCACACCCCTCTCCCAGCACTACTGAGTGTTCGCTTCTTTCCAGGATGAAGACATCACCCAGCCCCAGAGCATCCTGGCTGTGAGTGTCCTGGCTCCACCCCAACCTCACTCATAGGGAATCTGTTGGCATTTGGGGGTAAAGAAGACAGCAGGTCTCTTATTGCATGGAAAAGGTTATAATTACTGGTAATGAAGGATATCTGTAATTCCGGGGACAAATTACTAAAAAGTTGGAACTAAGGATTCTCAAAAAGATATCTCAGGGTTGAAAGGGGAAGTGCAATAGGTACAATATGTGGATAGAATTTATTTGCTGAAAGATATCAGTGAGAGAAAGATGCTCACTGGAACCCCTGGAAGGGGAGGGATAGTATGTTCCCAAGTCTCCACAGACTCCAACACAAACCTCACCAACACATCCAGAGTGGAAAGCAGGAGACTTTTTCAAAGAGGCTTTAAAAAGACAAAATGAGATAACTTAATAATGCCAGGTTTATATAGAAGTTTGAGTGAGAACAAATGGAAATAGTTCAAAACACTGACCAGTGAGCCATAGATGGGGGTATAAAAGTAAGTTTGTCTTCAGGATTAAATTAGGAAATTCAAAACAGTATTTTTCCTCCAGTTTACAAAAAAATTGTTGAGACCTATTTAATACATAAAGTGGCAAATCACACAAAGTTAAATGTATGAAGAATGACAAATATATCTTCTACAGTCTATATTCCTGCAAAGTAAATAAGTAATTTTTAGCTTGCTTTTTTACTTCATATTTAATAATCATTTTCCATGTAATATATATTTTTTGAGACAGGGTCTGGCTCTGTAACCCAGGCCAGAGTTCAGTGGTGTGACTGTGAGTCACTGCAAACTCCGCCTCCTGGGTTCAAGTGATCTTCCAACCTCAGCCTCCTGAGTAGATGGGACTACGGGCAAACATTACCATGCCCCGCTAATTTTTTTGTAGAGAAGGGGTTTCATCTTGTTGCTCAGGCTGGTCTTGAACCCCTGAGCTCAAGAAATCTGCCTGCTGTCACCTCCCAAAGTTCTGTGATTACAGAAATGAGTCACTGTGCAGTTTCCATGCAATTTTTAACTCTTTATAGTTCTTTGTTTCCACAGAGATTCCATTGAGTGGACTTATTTTTGTTTTACTTAACCATTTTTCTGTTGTTAAACATTTTCTGTGGGACATAATTCTCTAATTCAACCATAGTGTCTCATTAGGACAGGCTACATGATTTCATGGGTCCCACATCAGATCTAGGAGGTCAAGTTGCAGTGGTTTTCAATCTTGGCTGTGCATTAAAATCACCTGGAGCAGCTTGAAGCTAACCCTTTCCCCTGGAATTGTAATGTCATTGTTTTTGCTTTCTTCATGTGTGTGTTTTTGTTTTTGTTTTTTGAGACAGTATCTTGCTTTGTCACCCAGGCTGGGGTGCAGTGACATGATTATGGCTCACTGCAGACACAGCCTCTTGGGCTCCAGTGATTTCCCTTTTCAACCTAATAAGTAGTTGGGACTTCAAGCATGTGCCACCATGCCTATATTTTTTAATTTGTTTTTGTAGAGATGGGGGTTTCACTATGTTGCCCAGGCTGGTCTCAAACTGCTGGGCTCAAGCAGTCTTCTGCCTCAGTATCCCAAAGTGCTAGAATTACAGGCATTGAGCCACAGTGCTTGGCTGTAGCTTTCAGGGATAACCTCATGTGGAGATTTTTTTAAGTTCCCCAAGAGTTTCAAATGGGCAGTCAAAGTTAAGAACCACTGATCTCAAACTATACCAACAAACCCCAAACTAAAGCCTTTATCTTGATCTTAAAGCCAGGTAGGTGGCTGCAGCCATGTGCCTTGTTAAAAAGTCCTCAGGAAATTCCACTGGAATTAGAGTCTGGCTCTTGACTCAAAAAAGCATGAGATATTCAGAAATTCTGGGAAGTAGGAAGGAAAGCGCCCTGGACTTGAATTCTAGAGACCAGGATTCTAGTGTTGGCTCTGCCACCAACATGCTCTGTAACTCTGAGCAAGTAGTGTATCACTTCTAGATTTAGACTCTTTGTGAAATAAAGAGGTCTATCTAGCTGGTCTCTAAGATGTCCCCTGGTGTTAATTTCTGTAACTGACTCTGTGCCATCTACTTTTTCCACTCATCTCGAGATTTGGGAGAAAGGAAACAGTTCCTCTTGGCAAGGACAGATCTCCGCTTAGGGGTGAGGGTAAGGGCATTGCCAGGAAAACTTGGGGGCAGAAAATAAAAAGATCAGAGTTTTCCTCTGAGATGAGATCCCCATACAATACCATGCAGCTACAATTGTATTCCCTACTACATTCCCTTAGGCTGCTGAGAAGGCTGGTATGTCTGCGGAACAAGCTCAGGGGCTTCTGGAAAAGAGCTCAACATCAAAGGTGAAGAACCAGCTCAAGGAGACCACTGACGCAGCCTGCAGATACGGGGTGAGCCGCTCTTTTTGTGTGTTCCCAGCCCCCATCCTGAAGATGGAGACTGAGAATCCCTAGATGTGAGTCCCCATGCTCCTGTCCAAAAGCCCCCTTTCCAAGTGTTCTCCTCAGTGCTCTTAAACAACCCGCATCTTCTCCCTTCCTTTCCCTGAGCCCAAGAAAAGAAGGGAAGAAGATGGATATTGAGAGAAAAGATGGCATCTTAGAAACAGGAAGGCACCTGGGGCCACAGAGCCTCTTATACCTCTTGGTTTCTGTGAACTCAGAAAAATACTCACTTGAAGCCTTCAACCCCAGCCTAATACTGGCTCCTTTGCCCTCCTCCCTGCATTGTAACCGCTTTCTCCAGGCCTTTGGGCTTCCCATCACTGTGGCCCATGTGGATGGCCAAACTCACATGGTATTTGGCTCTGACCGGATGGAGCTGCTGGCATACCTGCTGGGTAAGTTAAAGATTCAACACTGAGCTGCCTTTGACCCCAGCTCCAGCCCTGCTCTATCAGTTGACCAGAAGGAGGAGCTCAGAGCAAAAAATATTCTTGGCACTTCCAGTAACAAAGCCTTATGCAGTCAGTGTTATTCTAGGTTGAATGGGGAGGGGCTGTCTTCACCCCCATAGGAGAGAAGGAAGCCTTCTATACCTTTCTAGAAAACCCCTGGGACCTTTTAGGGCCAACTCTTGCTACCAGCACACCTAAGAACAGTGTGCAGAGTCTGTCATTTTTTTCATCCAGGAGAGAAGTGGATGGGCCCTGTCCCCCCAGCCGTGAATGCCAGACTTTAAGATTGCCCGGAGGAAGCAAACTCCTGGTATAAAACAGCGGGCCATCTGCTTAACCCCCAGCTCCACGATAAGGCACTGGGACTTACATTTCTCTATCTGATACAGGTATTTTCTGTGGCCCTGGGGGCTGTCTCTCTTCCCCCTACCCCCAAGGATTCCAGGAAGAGGTCCACCATTAGCCATGTGGCAACCTGTACTTCTATGACTCACAAGTGCCTTTCAGAGAGCCCCAGTTCTGCTTTGCCACAAAATAAATCTAATGCCATCAGGCAAAACCTTTCTCGGTCTCTATCTGTTCTGGTGTTGTTGGTGTGTTCATTCCTGGTGTCATATCCTGCCCACTGTAGGGGTAGCTGAAGGAGACCTCTTTCTGTACTTCCAGCCAGACCAACTATCCAGTCCACCTTGGGCAGCTTGTGTGGTGGAAGAAGTGAGAATAGTCCCCTGTTCTCTCACAGAAACTCCCCAGGTCTCTCTGTCAGCAACAGAAAACCAAGCAAGACGGACTTTGCTACTAACCAGTTTGGGATTTACTGTCTTCTGACCCCCCCGCAGTGACTGAGATGGGGCTGGGATCAGAATCCCAGTGGGAGTGAACAGCAGAGGGAACCAGTCTGGTTGAGCTTGTGCCCAGATACTTAAATGTGGTCCAGCCACACCCATAGAGCCAGAGCAAGGCAGTACAGGGAAACTGGCTGGAGTTGATGGGGTTTAGAGAAGTTGCACACCCTTTTATAGTTACCTCCCTTAATCCTCAGTGCAGATCTTAAGAAAACTCCAAGGCTTCTCTTCCTGACCTAGTATAACCCCTGTTCCCTACTACATATGTATAACTTTTCCATTCTCCCAGTTATTGACCCAAAGTCCCTGCCTCTAGCTGTGCCCACTGTGTAATGATCAGAATTCCCTGTTTTAATAGTATTTTGACTTCTTTGAGAATACTCTGTATTTGGAAGCTGGAGTCTCACTTGGATCCATTGCTGGGAACCAGGTACAGAGCCTTAGATAGTTTCAGGAGCAATGCCACCTTCCCTTCCATCCCTCTCATGGCTCTTCAGATAGTCCATTTTCCCCTTTTATCTCCCATTACTTTCTGTCTTCCTCTGTCACCTTTTCCAAGTCTCTAGCATCCTCCAAGATTTAAAATCATCTTTACCCAGCTTATCCGTGAAGTAATGGCAAAAGAACATCTCCAGACTAAGCACTTCTTTTCTTCAAAGGAGTTTCGTGGCATGTACAACTAGTATAAAACAAAAACATGGGAAGATGTCCAATCTTAAAAATCATAAGGGCAAACTAAGACAAAACAAAGCTGCCCAGAGCAGGGTGAATGGAGACAGTTTTATGAATAAAAATGCTTGTCTCAGTACTATTAGTTGATATCAAAAATTGTGAACAATGTAAGCATCTATCAGCAGGAGAATAATAAATTATGGCACATTCAGGAGATAACGTTTTATAGCCATCAAAAATTGTATTTGTGGCTGGGCGCAATGGGTTCATGCCTGTAATCCCAGTACTTTGGGAGGCCAAGGTGGGCAGATCACCTGAGGTCAGGAGTTTGAGACCAGTCTGGCCAACACGGTGAAACCCCGTCTCTACTAAAAATACAAAAATTACCCAGGCATGGTGTCACACACTTGTAATCCCAGCTACTCAGGAGGCGGACGCTAGAGAATCACTTGAACCCAGGAGGTGGAGGTTGCATTGGGCCAAGATCATGCCACTGCACTCCAGTCTGGGCAACAGAGCAAGACTCTGTCTCAGGAAAAAAAAAAAAACTGTATTTGTGAAGAATTGTTAAGAACACTGGAAATTCTTAGGATATAATATTGATTGGAAAAACACGAAACTATATAGTACAATCTCAGTATATCTTGATGTATAAAAATATAAAAGAGGAGATAAAATTATTATTAATTATTATATTAATTCTGAGATAAAATATATAAAAATCTTTCCATTTTATTTGTATATCTTAAATTTTGTCATTTTTTTAAAATGATCACATTCTGATATATAAAATAATAAAAATGAAAAATAAAAAATTGTGTGGATTCACATTGCAGTACAACTACACATCCTGCCCATTGATTTCCAAATGTATTAGCTGCTTAACTTAATCCTGAATCTTCCCAGGCTTAAGTGGGATAATGTTTTATTGTAGATGCATATTTCCTGGTGCTACCCAGTCATTATTTGAAGACTTTATCATTCCATTTTCTGAATCCAGTGGCTGACTTTAATCTTCTCTGAAGGAACTAGACAATTTCTAGACTAATTCTTATACTCATGATCCAGATTGTAATTTCTGAAGTTCTTCTTCCAGATGGAATCAAAACAAGAAAGGGGAAAGCCTCTCAAAACAACTGTATGTTAATAACGGAACACTCTTTTCTTCTAATCCAAGGAAGTTTTCACGGTTTTTCTTAGTTTCTTGCTCTCTTCCCTTCTGATCAATAATTGTAATGTAATATGAAATTTTGTGATTGTGCCAATACTCAGATTCAATACTGAACCACTTTCTTGCATTGTAATTCAAATTCCAAGCTTAACAACTAGCTTTATGTTTCCAAAACAATCTTATTATATATGTATTTTCTTAGGTGAAGTTTCCAGAAGTGATTTTTTTTTTTTTTTACAGAGCCACACACATGGTAATTCAAAAAAATAATGCATGCATGTGGTAAAAACAGTAAAAGCAGGATATGAAGTAAAAAGTGAAGAGTCCTCCCTTTCCCATTCCCATTCCTAATTTTTTATATATCCTTTTTATAAGATATAATGTAGAGAGAGTCCATATTCTCTTCACATACTTTCCCCAGTGGTAACATCTTGCATAACCATAGGACAATAATACAGTCAGGAAATTGACATTGATACAATCCAGCCACCTTATTCAGATTTCACCAGTTTAACACATGATCATTGTGTGTCTGTATTGAGTTCTATATAATTTTCTGACATGCGGGCTGATCACCACCACCACAGTCAAGATATGAAACATTTTCAGCATAAAGATTTCTCATGCTAGGCTGGGTACGGTGGCTCACACCTGTAATCTCAGCACTTTGGGAGGCCGAGGCGGGCGGATCACAAGGTCAGGAGTTCAAGACCAGCCTGACCAACATGGTGAAACCCCGTCTCTAAAAATAAAAAAAAATAAATAAATAAAAGATTTCTCATGCTACCCTTTTATAGCCACAGCCACCTCCCTCCTTCCCCATACGTCCCTAACCCTTGGCAATCACTAATCTGTTCTTTATATCTTATCATTTCAATAATGCTATATAAATAGAATCAGATTTTATTGTTTTCATTTGAGATCTATCCAAGGTTTTGAAATATATCAAGAGTTTATTCCTTTTTATTGCTTAATAGTATTAATATTCTATAGTGTGGATGTAACAGTATGTTTAAACATTCACCTGTTGAAGGACACTTGGATTGTTTCCAGTTTGAGGTTCTTCCAAATAAAGCTACTCTGTGCATTCGTGTACAGATTTTTATTTTCATTTCTCTGGGTAAATGCTCAGGAGCACTTCCCATGGTAAATGCATGTTTAGATTTTTAAGAAACTGTCAAGGCTGGGTGCTTGTCAAGGTGGCTCCCACCTGTGATCCCAGCACTTTGGGAGGCCAAGGGAGAAGGATGGCTTGAGTCCAGGTGCAAAACCAGCCTGGGCAACATGGCGAAACACCATCTCCAAAAAATACCCAAAAAAAAAAAAAAATTACCAGGCACAGTGATGTGTGTGCCTGCGGTCCCAGCTAATTGGGAGGCTAACGTGGGAGGATCATTTGAGCCTGTGAGGTGGAGGCTGTAGTGAGCTATGATCACACCACTGCACTCCAGCTTAGATGACAGAGCCAGACCCTGTCTCTGGAAAAAAAAAAGAAAGAAGGAAACTGCCATAGTGTTTTCCAGAGTGGCTAATTTCACTTTTCCACCAGTAATGCATGAGTGATCCGGTTTGTCCACAGCCTCACCAGCATTTAGTGTTACTACTATTTTTCACTTTAATCATTCTGATAGGTGAGTAGTGATAGCTCATTTTGATTTTAATTTGCATCTCCCCAATGAATAATGAACATCTTTTCATGTGCAATTTACCATCTGTACATGCTTGTCAGTAAAATGTCTATTCATGTCTTTGCCCACTTTCTAATTAGACTCATTTGAAAATTTCTCATATTCATAACAATAGATTTTAAAGGAATTTACAAACTGTAAGAATACATTTTTTGAGACAATAGGGAAAATGATATGGAGTGAATATTAGGTGATATTAAAGAATTAATGTTAATTTTATATGTGATAATAGCTAAGTGGCTGTGCACAAAAAAAGTTTTCATTGGTTGTAATTCATTTTGAAATATTTAGAATAGGGTCAGGCGCGGTGGTTCATGCCTGTAATCTCAGCACTTTGGGAGGCTGACGGGGGCGGATCACGAGGTCAAGAGATCCTGGCCAACATGGTGAAACCCCATCTCTACTAAAAATATCAAAATTAGCCCGGCATGGTGGTGCACACCTGTAATTTCAGCTACTCGGGAGGCTGAGGCAGAAGAATCGCTTGAACCCAGGAGTAAATAAAATAAGACAAATACCACATGATCTCACTTACATGTGAACTCTAAAAAAAGTTGAACTTAACAGAAGTAGAGAGTAGAACAGTGATTACCAGAGGCTGGAGATGGGAGATGGGCACTGGGGAGATGTTGACCAAAGAGCACAAAGTTTCAGTTAGGAGGAATATGTTCTTAATATATATTGTGTAGTATGGTGACCATGATTAATAATCATGTACTGTATATTTCAAAATTGCACAAAAATAGATGCTAAATGTTCTCAGTATATAAAAATCATGAGTAAATGAGGTGATGACATGTTAATTAGCTTAATATTCTACAATGTATACATATATCAGACCATCACACCATATCCCATACACATATACAATTATTTGTCAATTTAAAATAAAATTTTGAATTAAAAAAGTATGGGTCGGGTGCGGTAGCTCATGCCTATAATCCCAGCACTTTGGGAGGCGAAGGCGGGTAGATTGAGACCATCCTGGTCAACATGGTGAAACCCCGTCTCTACTAAAAATACAAAAAAAATTAGCTGGGCATGGTGGTGCGCGCCTGTAGTCCCAGCTACTCGGGAGGCTGAGGTGGGAGAATTGCTTGAGCCTGGGAGGCAGAGGTTGTGGTGAGCCGAGATCGCACCATTGCACTCCAGCTGGGTAACAAGAGCGAAACTCCTCAAAAAAATAAATAAATAAATAAAAGTATTACATAAATGCTGTAAAAAAAGAGAGAATATATTGAGATAATAATTCTGTGATACTCCATGTTTCATCCTATCCCCACAGTTCTAAGCACACAGGCTGGTTTCATGGGATTGAAACCTATGCATTCACACAGGGCCCCAAAACCATTTAATGTTCTGCTATCATTGTCTTGAAATTCTTAATATCTGAATCCACGGCCCTGCATATTTATTTTTCATAAATTATGTGGCTATAGCTGATCCTGTAAGCACATAACATATGCGGATTAAATGCTTCTAAAATAGAGGAACAACTCAGATATTATGGGTTTGGTTTCAGAGCACCACAATAAAGTGAGTATCACAATAAAGTGAATATTGCAATAAAGTGAGTCACACAATTTTTTGGTGCATATAAAAGTTATAGTTTGGCATACTAATGTTTATTTATTTATTTTTTGAGACGGAGCTTCGCTCGTGTTGCCTAGGCTAGAGTGCAATGGTACAATCTCAGCTCACTGCAACCTCTGTCTCCTGGGTTCAAGCGATTCTCCTGCCTTAGCCTCCTGAGTAG